TTCATATACTGCAAAAGAATTGTTTCTATTTCTTATTACAAATCATTAAGAACTTAAAATTAATTAACCCCCAAATTATGAATAAAGCTTATCTTCAGTTAGCTTACAACACTTTTTACTTTTGAGAAGTTATATGCATACAAATTCCTATACATTAATCATTATAGGTGAATAATTGTTTACATATACTTTTAGACTAAACTTATTTTTATATATGTTAATTCCAATTCGAAGTCTCATGTGGAAAGAATAAAGTAAAAGTGAAATAATATGGATTAGCTCACATGTGTAAGATAAACATTCATGTTTCATAATTCTGCTGAAAATTAATATGTACTTTATTGATTGGTTAAATATGAGTAGAAATCATTAATCTGCAGAATTATAATAATTTCTATGAGCAAAGTAATTTAAAAATAAATTAAAACAAACAATGCATGAAAAACTCTTTATTAAGAAACACATTGTACATACATAAATTTTTACTCAATAATAATAATATAATAAAATATTAAAAATGCAATAAATTTTTACTCAACAGCTATGTTGCTCAAACATGTATTTAACGAGTCCACACATGCTCTAGGAGCGCTTATATTATAAAAAAAGCTTGCCATAAAATAGTAAAAATTTGTTAATACATGTGCATATTGCACACTAAATACGAAATGGGATTTAAATAAAATGTCGAAAATGTCAAATGCCTTCATGGCGTGATTTGGACATGCTATTAACTTGTTATCTGCTTTAATGTAAAATGAATTTGAAATGCACACTAGAATCGGTTGCTTATTTTTTTCTGCCCTGGTTCAAGAGACTCCATGTCTTCTATTCCCTGAAAATAAATTTCTTCATTAAGAATACATCCATACCTATGAGGGCAAGTCAAATACCAATTATCCATATTAGAAAGTTTATCTTTCCAATTAAAAAATATTGCCAGAAAATTTTTTTTTTTCTTCATACAAAAATACTACTCAAGTAATTTTATGCACATAGAGGCCTTTTGCTTTTAGTTTCTGTAAAAGTGCAGTATCAAAACATATAGGAATATTTAAGTATTATATTGATGCAAATATAGAATAGGATAGTAATGCATACTGCTATTTGTGCATTGCTTCTTCATGAAAAGTGTAATAAATAATGTAAAAAGAACAAAGAATATGGAGAATTAGTCTGGCTTATTCTTATGAAACCAAATATCATTTTTCTTCATATTAAACTATGATGCTTGTTCTTGATTTCATAATTGCCCTAGTCTGACTGGAATTACTTTTTGAAATTCAAGCAATTTCTCCATCACTTTACAAGTAAAAAAAAAAAAAAATCTATGTTCACTATATGATACATGCATAGAAATGATTACTGTCATGCTTTAGATGATACAAAGACATCACACATAATACAAACCTTCTTATTCTCTCGAAATATTTGCTAGTATGTAGGTGACATTCAAATCAATGCCATTTCAATTCTACAAAAATTAGCTAAATGACGATGCATCATCTGTGGGTACAACAGTTGAAAGCAGCTTGAGAACATGAATTTTAGCCACGTGAAATACATTCACTGTTGTAAAATGGCTCGTTTAAATATGATCTGCCCTCTTAAAATGAAAGTGCAAAACATACAAAACTCATAAATACTTACATTAGCAAATATTAGAAGTGCAGAATTTGGAATGTTTTTTTTTTTTTTTGTAAATAACAGCCTGATGCCAAAATACTTGTTTTGCCTTTACTCTACAGAAATAAAAATAAAAGTATATATATATAAAAGACATAAACTGGATAACAATTGCATGTGAAATGTAATTATTAATTGAAGCTACATAAATATCACACATGAACCTTTCAAGAAAGAAAATGTAGCAAAGTTCAAAGGATATGCAGCTCAATTCACTTACATATAGTATCAATAGCTTATTTGCATACACATACACTACAAACTAAAAATATTATCCTATTAAAAGAATTTTAGCTAAGCATATGAAATTATTTTTTTTATATGCATAGACTTATGCCAAGTATTTACTCATTAATAATGAATGAGACCTTTTTTTTACCTTTTTTCCCTCTTCCTTTACCATAATTTGGGCTGGGCAAAAGTTCTGGGAGCAAAACTAATGCTTTTAGATCATCTATATATATATGAAAAAAATACACAGACTTTTATTACATAAGGATTACAAAAATATCATTAAAAAGGCCTTTGGTACTAGAGGTACATGGATTTACAGCTTACTTTTACAAGCCAGAAGAAAAAACTTTATAAGCCATTTAAGAATGACCAATGCAAGTAATAGATAAAAAATTACTTTAGGTAATTAAAACAGTACGTAAAAAAGTTTTAAAGTATTATATGATTTATAATCCTAGTTAAATTTTTAAAGATCTTTACCACTGAAATCAGCAATACTTGGTACCAGAAGATCAGGCCGTTTTGATTCAGCATATCTCAAAATTCTTGGGACATAAAAAGATGAAAACTTTCCCAAGAAAGTGTCTGAATTGGGATGCATGCGTAAAAATTCTGCATCAATCTGCAAACACAACATAATTTCCAGTAAGTTTATACAAAAATCAAAAATAGGTTATCTAGTACATATTCATAAAAATGTTGATTTTAAAAAAACTGAATGCATGTGGTTAATGGTTCAGTTTCTTAAACCAAGCATATCCTGAATGAAAATTATTACAAGAACTTATGTGTTTTAACATAATGCTGAAAAATGATTTTGAACTGAAATTCTTTGAATTGATTATGCTGAAACTTTGATTTTAATTTCCTGGCTCGACACATTTTAAAGATCACCAATATACACTATGCGTATATGTAAATTTAAAGTGCAATTACTAACTGAAAATTAATTAGCTAAATTTCTTACCATATCTCCTCTATAATCTTGTAGCCTGGGATATCTCTCTAAAACATCTGTTATGGTCATGCCTGAATCTCTTATTTCAGTTTGTCTGTCAGCCATTGTTTCAGACAATATATCTGAAATCGCCTGTCTATTGGGTTCTATGGGATTTTTAAATTTCATCCACATTATCTATAACAAAAAATTTATATGCACTAATTTTCAAACATTTTCTTTAAGTATAGATGAAATATTTATAACATAGAAATATTTTAAAATGTTATGAATATGAATTTTACGAAAGCTGAAAAAAACCTTTTCTTCTAAATCCTCTTTAGTCAAACGTTCTGTTTCAAGAGATGGTTCTATTCTGCAGATTTTTGAAGTTTTGGCTAATCCTTTTTTTCTTTGATGGACTTCCTAAGCGTTTTCAGGCCTATTCTATAAAGCTTATTCCTGTGGTCTTATCATAGAAGCTTTCCTGCACATAAATTAATACACATCACATAACTAGATAACATGTTTTAAAGTAATTTTTTGAAAATTAAAGAACACTTACATGCCCATGTGGGAATCTTTTTGATTTTAACAATGGAAATGCATCTACTAATGCCTCTGCAGTACGTTCCTTCCATTCTGAGGATGGGTAGCTGAAGGGTAGCTAAAAAAAAAAATAATTTAATGGAAAATTCTTGAAATTCATATAAAATAAAATATTTTCTTAATTTTCAGAACGTATCTATACCTTCTAGACTTAAATCAATGAAAATATATTCAAGTTCACTAAAAAAAACTTACACAGTTCCACATAAGTTTACTAATTTTGAACAGACTATCTATCCTAACTAGCAGCTGCCTGTCTTCAGTCTTGTAGGAACCCCTATCCAAGTTGTCACAGAGCTGTTTGCCTTGTGGGTGACTGCTGACCCACTTTCTGATATAAAAAGAATCCTGAAAAAATTGAGAAAATTGTAATAACCGACTAATAAATCACAACGTGTTCTTTTACATAATTAAAACTAAAAGACAAATTTTATTACCTTGTTTGAAATACACTGGTTATATATTTTGGATATGTCTAAAGACACCTCTTTTCTTTGTATATTCTGTGGAGAAATGGCACTTGCACCTTGACAGACCTTTTCAGTGCATTTTTCATCTGATGGTATTGAAGCAACCGCTTGAACTGATGGGCACTAAAAAGAAAATGACTTTTCAGATAATAATATAAAATTATCCTTCATTGTTATTCCATTATTGAAATTATATTGTTACCCTTATTCTATTCACAATTTGCATAATATGCTTTCTGGGCCCTAATTTTATGTTCATTTCTTTCAAGTCATCTTCTGTGATATCAGGAAACGTCAACCCAATGACGCCTTCTTCTGTAAGAAATATATAGTATAACATTCTTCCTAAATTTTAATGACAACTAAATATCAATCAGTGCAATATAGCGCAGAATGACAGACAAGGTGAAAGAACAGCAAATTCAAAACTATAAGGGGACAAAATTACTTAGAAAAAACAGGAAAGAAAATCTTTAAAAAATTATTGAATAACTTTTCATGTTTCATTTATATAAAATTTTACTAATTCTTATCTTTAAATATTAAAAACTTGAAATTAATTCTGTGTAATAAACAATTTCAATAGATTTAACAGTGGTTATATATGATATTAATTTATTTTTCTCATAAATATTACGATTTATTTACATTACAAAATCACAGATAAATCAAATGATATGTTAAATGGAACTTCAAAATTTTGAGTCATAACTAAATTTTCTTAAGAGCGGAAATTAGATATTTATATGTATATTTAAAAGTATTAAGACAGATTATATTCCCAAAAACGTGTCTAGTAAATTAACAAGGTATTTTTTAATTAATTTGGTTAATTACCAGCATCAATAAATAATTTTTTTACTTTCGCTGTGCGCTCAATTGATAATAATTATTTTATCGATTCATTATGTCCATTTACAAATTATGACATTAAAAGTACGTATAATGAAAATTATATGTGCTTGTAATGCATTTGATAAGATAAACATTTCTCTTAATATGGTTTCTAGTTTAAGAAGTTCCTACCCTTAGTCTTTAAAGAAATCTATAAACTACCTTTCTTAACTTTAAGTAATAAAAGTTTTAAATGAGCAACCTTAGCTGTTTAAGATTTGTTTCATTAAAAAAAAAAAAAAAAAAAAAAAGGGGATGAAATTTTTTAAATTTCCAACCAACCTGTTCCCGAGATTTAAACCTCACAGGATTTCACCGAACTACAGTGATTTTACCGCGCGGCCGCTGGTGGGTTCGTGGCTAATCGGGAATAGTTTCAACAGTAATGTTAAGTAGAAAGAAATTATTAAGCTTATAGGCAGGCAAAAACGCATAATATTTATTGCATATAAATGTATATTAGGAGAAGAAGTATGATATTAGAATGTGTGTGTGCTTATTGCAAAGCCTCAAGGACTATTTGCGTAAGGGGAAGGATGCCTTCGTGGAGGTCTTTCTAAGGGAAATACATGTTGCACATGGGGAAAACAATGAAAACGCCCATGCCATGCAGCTAGTCCCTTCACGTGATTCGAACCCAGGACCAAACTACCAAATTACAGCGACTGTACTGTTCGTCCGCTGGTGGTCAATATTTAGGAGATGTGCATTAATGCTCGGAGAAAAAGCATGATATTAAGCATTTATAAATAAAAATTAGCCTGTGAAACATTAATATTAGCGCATATAAATTTAAATGAACATTAAAAAAACATAATATTAAGCATACGTAAGTAAAAATTACATAAGAGTAAATTACATAAAATAAATGTTAGTAACTGAAATCAATTTAGCCTTTCCCCATTTTCTCAAAATTGGCCCCAAAACTGTAACATTAAGAAACTTTTTGGCAACCCATTACCTTAGAAGAACACATTCTTTAATCAGAATTCTAAAATATCTTTGATTGTATCTTAACTTAACGTTGTATTTCATTTCATGCCGAAACAAGAACTCGAGTATGCAGTTTTCTAAATTTTCTTTGCAAACACTTTCAAATCACTTTTTTTAGAAAACATAGTATGGAAATCAGACAAAATAATAATAAATTTGAGAAAAAATGACACATGCAAATAAATTTTGAACATCAGTGAAAGAAACCGAGGAGACCATATGAGCTACACCTACACTATCGAGAATAATAATACATTTGCAAAAATATAAGTGTTAGAATGCTGATATGACACAGGTAGTGCTAGTGTATACTTTGTAAAAATTCAGATTTGCAACAGTAAGTGAATTTTATTTTTACAAACTATAAGCAGAATTTATAAAAAAAAGAAGTTAAAAATCAATGAAAAACTGCTATAAGCTGAAAACGATATGACTTTAACAGAGAATTCAGTAAAGTATACGGTTTTTATTTCTTGCAATGCTAACAAATAATTTGTGTTATAAAAAATCAAAACTCTATAGTATGGATTTTTTTCCCCCACCGCTGTTCTTCGTACTCGAATTAGGAATGCATGCGAAACTGAATTTGAATAATTAAAGTCGATAGTGTTGTGTAAATTGTTTTAGAAGTGTTTACAAAAAGTACCATCCATATATATAGCTTTTATTGTGTTAACAGTACGTAATAAATAAAACGAAGTTACAGCATTACACTCTTAAAGCAAATTTACCTAAAATAGAGCCAACTAAAACTCCTTTTCATTACATCCTTCAATTTTTACACATAAATCTAAAATATAAGACTATAATTTATGATAAGTAAGATAGTTCTATTAAGAAATAATTGTATATATATTTTAAAACTAAACTTACTTTTGGCAGAGGAGCTGCGTTCATTGTTACGATGTAGACAACTGTCCTCACTTAAAATAGCGCCTCAGCAAAACTGCATGGTCACTCTGCGAGGGTAGGGGCACGACCGGAAGTCGTTCTTCCCCTTAACTCACTCCCTTCTCCAAGGTCATTTTGCAAGTGGAAAAATATGTTCTGTTACCAAAACAGTAAACTTGCCTTGTTTAACACGAAACGGAGCGAAAATTGCTGTCACGCTTCAAATCTCACTCTGAGAAATTTAGAGTGATAGATTACGGCAAAGCACTCGAGGGCTATCTGCCTTAAGGGAGGGATGCCTTCGTGGAGGACTTTCTAAAGGAATCTGGCTTGTATACACGTTTCACATGGGGAAAACCACGAAAACGCCCATGCAGCCAGCCCGTTCGCGGAATTCGAACCTCGGATCGAACTACCAGTGTTCAGTGACGTTACCGCTCGGCCGCTGGTGGGCTCTATTTATTATGAATTTTTTTGTTATCACAAGCACATAGTAAACGAAGAAAATAGAATATACTTAAATTTAATAAAAAAGAAAACCTATTTTCCAACATTCATTTATTGAGATAAATAAAATCTAATTTCCAACATTCATTTATTGAGATAAACTAATAAACATACATAACGGCAACAGAAAATACTTAAATTTACTAAAAAAATAAAACATAATTTTCAACATTCATTTATTGAGATAATCTAATAAACCTACAATAACGGTAATACTTAAAAAAACCCGAATTACACAGTGTTTGAAAGAATAGATACCAAACGAAAAGTAATAAAACTGCAAGTTGCAATCAATAAAAAATATTTAGTGTTTTCTTAATATTACACAATTGAGTATCACACAATTATAGATAACAATATTTTATAGAAATGCTAATGTTTCTTTAACACTATTTTTTCGATCATACATTTCATACACTGTTTAAAATCATTAACCTTTTCTCCATACTATACAAGAGACAACATAGTATAGAATGTGCATTAATATTAATTTTAATGTACTTCTTCTTGCTGTTACATATATCTAATTCATCTTCAGCAGTCATATTAAGTACTAGTACCAGTCCAATAATTTTTTTGTATTTTAAAAATAATGAACATACCATAACAGCTTGAATTGTTGCTTCTGCACTGATTGCTTTTGCAGCAAAACCAGAAAGTGCCTTATCGTTGTATGTTGTTTTTGGTTTTATATGAATTAATTCTGAGAACAAACCTTTCAATATGAACATAATAATCCATTAATATGAATGATATACGATATAGCACTTAGGACGTTATAACCGAGGCACAAACCACCATATAACTTTTTAATCACCCGCAACACATAAAACACCAAACAGAACACATTTTCAGGAACACTATATTCCCGATTAGCATTGTAACTCGTTGCATTCAATATTTTTTAAATGATGTATCCAAAATTTTGGTGTCTTCTTGTAGAGCACATATTCACAAACAAAATAAACCAAAATTTCACATTCTCACGATGATTTTTCCTCAGTTCAGAGGCTTCCAAACAGGAGCTCACAGCAATGCAAATTCACTTGCTGAAGGCAGTTGAAGTAAGTGGATAGAGACAGAACAATGAGGAGATTCACAGTGCGTTCTTTGATTGACAGTGATATTGATATTTACTTTTAATATAAGCAATATTATTTATATCAGTCGTTGCTTTATTCAGTTTCACAGTTGAAGTCAATCTTTTCAAATGCCTTACAGATTGCACCTTTACCAAATTACTTGAAAGAACTGCTGGAATCTTTCCGTTCCGTTTACAGCTGTTCGCCACTCAGCTAGAAAGTGTAGCTTTCAAGTAACTGCGCAGTTAAATTCTTCGAACTTGAACTTCGAATTTGGCAGCTAGCCAAAGCGCGCAAAACTCGAGACGTTCGTTTATTAAGCATCCAATAAAGTAAATAAAGTACATGGAATGTCACCAGTTGAAGAGCAATGTACAGTTTCTCTAATTTTTATGCC